TTTATTTACACTCAGAATGTTTCATTTCCCACTGACTTCCATTGTAGGGACAAAAAATACAATTTAAGTCAATAGGAACCGAAACAGTTTGGTTACCAACATTCATTAGAATATCTTCTATGTTTCACTGAAGAGGGAAAATAATAAGTTTGGAATGCCATGAAAGTGAGTAAATGATTACAGAATAAAATTTTTGAGTGTACTATCCCTTTAACAGGGTTTTAAGCCACCTGACGTAACAAAAAATTCCTTTAAAAACAAAATATGGGGCAGATATGCCCCTGATAAATTACTATTCTATTATTATACATTTTATACATTTAGTTTTATAAATATTAGTTGACGTAGATGGAATTTTTATTGTTAACGACAGTAAAAGTGGTAAAAGTGGTCGGAAGATCTAATTGTAAATAAAAAATAAGTAAATTTCTAAATGTAAATGAAATGCTTATGACTCTCACCATTGCAGTTGTTTTGGCAGCACGTCCCCGGCCGGGGATAGTTACAATTCGGCCTCGGACACTCACGATTCCCACAGTTCACACGTCCGTCTTGGCAAACACAATCCTCACATGGATTCGAAGGATTTGGAAATGATTCTCCATTAGTAATGATGTGGTTATCATCATATTCACAGTCTTGAAAAAAAAGAAAACAACAAGAGGAAACTAACTGTTAGCGTGCACAACGTAAGATCAAGTTATCTTCTGAGGTTAGTTTAGTGAAAGTGTACCTGGACACCGGGGACAGCACTCTCCAGGAGGAGTGTATGCATTAGCACACCTCGGTTGGGGACATGCAGGCATAGCACAACTTGTCTGACCATCCTACACAAATACACACACACACACAGTAATGTAATGTATATAAACTAGCTGATAATTATGACAGTACTTGTCAAAAGTTTGTAAACATTACTTAAAAAAAAATCATCAGCATATTAGAATGATTTCTGAAGGATCTTGTGACACTGAAAACTGGAGTAATGATGCTGAAAATTCAGCTTTTCATCACAGGAATAAATTACATTTTAAAATATATTCAAATTCAAACAGTTATTTTGAATTGCAATAATATTTCCTAATATTACTGTTTTACTGTATTTTTGATTAAATAAATGCAGCCTTGGTGAGTTTCTTTTAACTTTAAAGAACATCACATTTTTCCCCAAAATGTTAAACATTTAATAAACACTGAAACATTTCAATAGTTGCTCATACTTGCTCATACAAACCCTGAAGCCCGTTTCTGTCTGGTATTAAACATCCATAAAATGTTAAATCTAGGATTTCCAATAGCGTGTACCTGACAGGTGCACGTCTTACAGGCATCCTCTGGGTCCTTGAACGTTTGGCCGGTTTCATACAAGCGCTGATTGGACTGGCACTGCCCACAGGAGTCACCACAGCAATCTCCACCTTCATACAATTATCAACATCTAAACAACTTACTAGATTTAACTGTGACTGATGTAAGTCTAAGCAGCCACTGTTTCATCCTCTCAGCCTGAATATTCTGCGGCTCTTCAAAACCCTAGTGAGATGCCTATCTAGACAGCAATTTTAAGCATTATGGGAACATTCTAGAGGTAAGGTGTTTAGAAACAGTAGACAGTATGTGAAATGTTACTATACCTATTTTAGTCAGTATTGAGAATAGGACTAAGGAAACTGTTCTAAATAAATATTATATATTATATTTTATAAATATTTTTAGATATAATTTTAAATATACTTCAGAATATACAAATATTGCTAATACAGATATTAAAATAAATGTTGATAAAATATTTTCAATACGCTTTTACTTATATTTTGACTGCACTGACTCATTAGCATTTGCAATAAACTCTGAAAGTGTTTCTCTCAGAGTGATTCAAATCAGTCAGGATTTGGCTAGGATGCTGTCTTACAAACTGTAACTGCCTATGTACAGTATGAATACACAGAGACAACTCATTTGAGTTTGGAACAGTGCCTCTGTTTTTTCTCCCCGTCTTTCATATTTCTTTTCTTTCTCTTACCTGGGGGATTTGGGAAGGGTGCGGGGGTCATTTTGGGACAGTCCGAGCCCCTTTTAGGCCTACTACACGTCACCTGTCCACCCACACAAGAACATGTTTGGCCAGCATCAGTCCATGTGGCTCCTTCTTCATATTGAACACCATTCCAAGTACATCCTACATACATGGACACAGAATGCAACGGATACATATACACTACTGTTCAAAAGCTTGGAGTCAGTAATATTTTTTTAATGTCTTTAGGGCAGTCATGATCAGTGTTGGGGGTAACGCACTACAAGTAACGCGAGTTACGTAATCAGATTACTTTTTTCAAGTAACTAGTAAAGTAAACACATTTTTCATTTACAAGAGAATATCGGAGTTACTTTTTGAAATAAGTAACGCAAGTTACTTTTTTTTCCCAATTTATTGATTGACAGCTCTCCTGTCCCCATGTTGAGAGAAATCAGAAGATGTTACTGTAGCTCTAAAATAAATATGAATATGCATTCATTCATCT